ATTATGATGTTCAATTAAATCGATGTTTAAATGTTGATGAAAAGTAAATAGAAATTAAGTATTTTAAAATTATTTGTTCGATTGATGTTGTTTTAGTAATCAAAAACTTGCTATTGCTCGTTTACAACCAGAATCTTGGTGTAAAAAATCTGTACAACGACCAAGTAGATCTTTTCAATTTGTTTTTTTTTTTAATTAAATCTAATAGAAAATATTTTTCATAGGTAAAATACTTCAATTAACAAGAAAAAAAGGTGAAACTGTTTGGTTACAATGTGATGTTAATGAACATTTACGTTCATCTATTGAATGGCGTTGGAATGGTCGAAATATTCAAGATACATTATTTAATAATTTTCTTTTAACAAAAGAACAAAGTATAAAAACAAAAAAAAACAAATTTATTTTTTCTTTTACATTGAAATTTTTATATATATATTAAAATTAATTTAGATTTAATTATTATTAATATGAATATTTCACTTAATGGACAATATACTTGTTTTATTGGTCATCAACCAATTGTTTCATATTCACTTGAAACAGATCGAAGTAAGAATAATCGATGATTTCATTTCTTTAATTAATTTTCTTTTTATTTTTAAATAGATGCATTTGTGTATGGAGATGTTGCGTCGACGGTTACAAATTTATCTCGACGTAAGTTACATTTCGAATGTCATGCAATGTCTTATTCGGTATATGTATGTCGAAATTGACTTTTTAATATGCAAGCTTTTGTTTCTTGATGGCCTCTCTAGAAGGTAGAGTGTCAGAGTTCTCGTTCTCGAACGATTCCATTCGAAAGAAAGAAATATACAACGGTGAGGTTTACCCTGAATGCTATGCCTGAATAAGGTATCGATGGTAGCAAATAGTTTTTTGTTATCATTAGCACCTGTTAGCATATAGACGACTCAGTTATGCTTCTATTGTTCGAGTTTTTCCCTCAATTATTGTATTTACAGATATTGAGAATGGTGCTTGAACATACATCACTAAATATGAAGTTGCCATCAAATATAGACTTGACATCTAGATTGTTGACCTATATAAGTAAAACAACACGATTAAGTTTTTCATAACATCAGTATGCATAACTTCCTATGATTGAAAATAAATCATAGTTAGCTCTAAAATGGAAAAGTTAATTCCGATGTATACGAACAATCATTCACATTCAGCAAAAAAGTTATATTATGAAGTTTTGTATACGTACTACTGATAGGTAAATCAGAAAAAAGAAAATCACCTTTTTTGTGAAGCACAACTTAAAATGAGTGTTGAAGTATAAAAAATAGAAATTTGCATTTCCCCTACACAATATGAAAGACAAGATCGATAGAGCGTAACAGCTACCTTATTAATAGTCCTCCCTTCGTCTAATAGGCTGTAACAGATGTGTTTTTATATGTGGTTGATGACTGTATATGAATAATGTTTTTTTTTTATGACATATGACTTACTGGATAATTGTATGCGCGAACAGTTAAATAAAATTACGGTGAAAAAAATGTATTCTTAAAATAGATGAGAAAAAATAATTTCGCTGTAGTTAGCAACAGCAGCTATATCATGTTTCATATTTTAAATCTAACAACAATCGTACAAATTGTTTTTATTTTTGAAATGAAATTATAAACTTTTATGTTGATTATTATAATTTCTAAATATTGATTTATTTTAGGTAATGGTGAATGTAACTGTTTAACAGCTGAAAAATATATTGAAAAATATAATGATTGGTGTAAAGAATTTGAAAATTATCAACGTGCTTATAATGAATGGGAAGTTTTACGAGATCAAGTAAATTTTAAGAAAAATAAATGTTTTATTTTCATTTTATAATGGTTTTTTTTAAATTTTATTTAGAGCTGTCCTAAGCCTTAAAATGAAGCAGATCTAATATGTATATTATATCTGTCAGATATAACTTCGACAAAAAAATAAAGCCAAATCAGATGACATCATCTGTCAGATGTTCATATTCTCTCTTTTTTCTTTGTTCTTGTAATTTACATAGATATTTCAATTAACAATTTGTGCTCATTTATATAATCTCTTTGTCTTGAATAATTCATTTGTCAGTTCCTGTTTTTTTTTCTTTTGTAATTCATTCTCTTATCTATTTACTTACTAGTCGTCAATATACAATTTGCAAGATGTTTTTTTTTGTTTCTTGAATAAAATTAACATGAATAGTCTTCATTTTTTTTTGTTTTTAGAAAAAAAAAAATTTATTTTTTTTCTATTTCAATATGCCGAATGTAACATTTGCATTAGTTGCTGTTGGTATTGCTTTATCATTAATAACAGCATTATCTCTTATAATTGCAAGTTTGGGTCGACTTAATACAGATCAAAGTTTGTATTAAATTGATTTATTATTTACTAAACATAAAATTTCATTTTTTTTAAAAGTTGCTATTTCATATAATACAATTTCGAAAAAACTTAGTCGACATACTCAAGCAGCTGGATTACATTTAAATACACCGGGATTTAAATTTATCATTTTTCCGAGTGTATTTACATCAATGCAATTTGATGATATATCAGTTTGTTTTTAATAAAAATAATAATTTTAGAAATATTTTTAAAATTTTTAATTTAGTGTCTTAATCAAGATGGTGTCTCGATTAATCTTGATGCTACTTTACAGTTTCAAGCTGATCCAAATAATTTATATGATATTGTTATACAATTTAAAGATTTCGAAGGATATAAAAAAATTCTTTATGCTACAGGTCGAGCAGCTGTTCATGACACATGTGCACAGTGAGTTCGAGAATTCAATTCTACAATATTGATTACATATTAGAAAATGATAAACTAAGTCAAGAATAGGCTATCTGGTTGTTCAGAAACCATACAATAGAATGTATCACGACAAATCTTAGCTCAAGATGATTCTATATTTGAATTCTTTCAAACTTTTCTTAGACTTATAGAGATTTAACCAATCCAAATATGAAGTTGAATGACGATTGATAGACATGATTGTTCTCTCGTTACAATACCTTACAGTTGCTCAATATTGATTTTTTGCTTAGTCCAATAAGCTCACAGATAATAAATGTTTGTATAGATTGATGATATAAGCGAGTCTTATATATTATACTTTGTATATCGTATGAAAATGGTAGAGAAAACTGTCGGTCTATATACGCTGAGAGGAAAAATAGTGCTGTATATTTTTTCTAATTTTTCATTATTCTTCAACTAATGTATTAATAAGAACATTTCGACAAGAGCTGTTTGTTATAACACTTGAAAATGATAGCTAAGTATTTTGAATCACTGTTGAAACCATGAAGATGCACCGAATCATATATTATTTGTCTTCGTAATATGTTTTCTAAATATTTTTTAATTGATTGTCTAAAACAATGCCGGAAAACGGTAATATACGATTTGATTCGTCTTCATCTTCTATTTCTAGTGGTGAAAACTACGGCTCTCTATTTTGATTCGATCAGAAGTTATTTAAAAACCTACACACATGCCTCATGTCTTTGAAATGGGCTTTAGTTTTGTCATCACATATCATAATAGAAAGTTCTTATCGAAATCTTTTTGATTATGATATTAGTTAAAACATGATGAAATAGAAAAGTACTATTTCTTCAATTAGCGCAATTAAAGAGAAAGTTTCGTCAAGCATTTTATGCGATGTCGACGTATCTCCACCCTTACTTTTGGTATTCTCTAAGTATTTCTAAAATATATTTTTCTATTTCAACGATTTTATATTTGCCTGTCTTAGTAAATAAGATTGGATAGAATAGCATATTATCCCATGTAAAGATTTTTTTCTATTGATATTTTATTTCCACGTTGCTTTAGAAGGTGCAAGAATGCATATGGAATACATAAGACAAATAATCATTTTGAATTATCACTGATATTATGAAATTTTTTTCAATAGACAATGTGAAAATTACTTTTCTATAATCAATACTATTCATTTTTTTTTTAGTTTTAATACAACTGCATTTCAAAGTATGAGAGGTTATTTTCAAATTAAATTACTCGAAGTAAATCAAAAATGATATTTAAATAAAGAATAGTTTAACTTTTGAAATTTTCTTAGGAAATGAAAGCTACATTCAGTCCATTTTATGCAATTCTTCGAGACTTACAAGTTATATTTTTTTCACTAATAAATTAATATTTATCAATGATTTTTAAATAGGTAAATAATGTTCGTCGTCCAGGAGATTTTGAAACGGCTGTTAAAGATAAAGAAGCAGCAAAAGAAAATATTAAAGTTAGTTTTCTTTAGTTAAATTCATTTGTTTTTCATAAAAGAACACATGTGATAATAGATTGCTGAAAATGAACGACCAAAATTACTAACACAAGCTCGTACAGAATATCAAAAAGCATTAAAACAAGCTCAAATAATCAACGAACGTGCTGAAACAGATAGTAACATTATTTTAAATCAGTAAGATTTTGTTTTTTTTTTTTTTTTGTATAAAATTTGTATGTGTGAATATTTAATATAGAGCTGATGCTGAAGCTCAAGCTGTTCGAGCACGATACACAACTGAAACGGGTAATATGAATAAATGTATTGTATTATATAAATAATTTAAATAATTTCAGATACATTTGTATCATTAAAAAATAAATTGCGACTCAATATTGAATCGCTTTTAAATTATATGGTAAGACGAAATAGATTTCATTTTGTTAATAAAACAAAAAATCATACTTATCGTGTATATATATTTAGGCTATACGAGTCATCGGCTCATCGAAAAACGATGTTTATATTAATATGAAATCTCCAGCTGAAGTTAAATATGATTTATAAATTTCCATGAATTGTGATATTTTATTATGTCTTTTTTTTTTCACTTTTCATACTAACAAGGATAATCTTGAAATATTATATTATGTGTGTTTGTTCTTTTTTTTTTTTTTATTTCTACTAACAAGATATCATAATATAAGAATAGTGAACATTTATCCACGATTTACTTTTATTGTAGATGATGTCAAGAAAAAGAAAATTTTCTGAAAATAATACTGATGAACAAAATAGTAAACAAAGACAACGAATGACTAATTATCATCAGAATAATATTTTTCGTATGTAATTAATTCGTTCACATGATAACGTGTACGCGGAAAGTTTTGAAACAAAATATTTGTTCAGTTTAAAAGCAATGGATTAGGACCAGCATATTGTGCACCTTTCGAATATGGGCTTAGCAATTTTATCTCAGGTTTTTGTTCGAGACTAAAGAAGAAGTTTTTTAAAGACTCGAAAAATTTGATGGAATAGTAGACCAATTGGTTTTTGCCAAGTTCTAAATAGTGAGCAATCACCACTGAGGACGTAGATATGACTTTTTTTTGTATTAAAACGAACTTTTTTAAATAGGAATATTAACGTCTTTTACTCAACAAAAAGACTGAGGAAAAAAGGTCGTTTGTATGCATCTCAGTTCAGAAGCATTTGTGCCTCTTTATGCTAACTGAATATTTATTCCAGATACAGAAGAGTATTTTCTGAAAGTTTCGTCTATATTGAGTTATTGAAAAAAGTGACGGTCAACTTCACTAAAGACGTCTTTTTGATATTTTTATGAATTGATAGAGCAAACGTCCTAAAAACAAATGATGTTTTTCTCAAAAAGCACTGAAGTTTGATCTTTTTTGTGACTAAGTTTGTTCAATGAATTTAGCCACTGAGACAAAATTTTTTACCAAAAAATTACTGTTAAATTCTTGAAAAAGTTCACTTTTATTTTTTCACCGAACTCCCCCACTGTACTCTATGAATTTCTTTGCGAAGATGTCACAAAATATACGAGTTAGTTATTTTATCGAGCGGATACTTCTGGACAAAATTTTATGTTTAAGCAAAGCTATGATTTTTATCTAAGTAAAACTATGGAAATTTTATCAAGAATTTCTTTCTTTATAAAACGCCTTTTGATTGAAAATTTGGTTTTTTCAAAAATGAACATTTAACCGAAACAAAAATTGAAATGACCGATAGCAAAATCTTCAATAGTGTATTTTGTAAAATAACTTTTATTCTACAAGCTGATATATTAATAAAGATGTCATCATTTATGTTCAAGTTGCAATAATGAAAGTATGAAAGTGTATGGAAAAACTTTTCGTCTAAACTATTGATCATTTTATTGATCTCAAGAAAATTTTTAAGTCTATATTCGAAAAAAGCACAAGATTTTCACCATAAATTCATAGCTTTTGACTTCTCGAAAATACTTTCAAGGTAGCTGAAAATAAACAAATATTCTGTATCGAAACTTTCAATCTGTCCGTTATTCATAGTCTTCATGCTGTAATTTAGAAACAACACAACAAAAATTATATGATGGTTCAAAAAATTTCTTTCGAAAATTAAAAGATTCTGTAAAAAACGATGGTAAATCAGTTTTTTTTTTATTATTTTGAATAATTAAATAAAATATATATTTTTATCAGAGATAAAATCGTTTCAAATGAATTCATGTTGTTCATCAATGCATTGTACAATACCAATGGTAACAATTTGTGATTATTGTGAAAAACAATATTGTTCAAATCATCTCACGCTATGTTCGCAATGTAATAAGACATATTGTCTCTATTGTTCAACAAATATGTAAAATAATTTCATGAAAAATTCTTTATTATTAACATTTAATTGTGTTTCTTTTTAGAAACAATGAAATATCCATCTGCTTAACATGTGTACAAAATGAATAATTTTCTTTTTTTCATGTTCTTCTTTCTTTTTTTTTCTTGTACTATGTATTTGTCTAATTAAGTTAATTTTTAGATAATGAGATAAAATTAATTTTGGAGTTATTTTTTTTATACTCAGCATGGCCCACAATGGTCAGTGTGTTAAACAAGATTTTATTTGTTTATTTTCTTTTTTTTACAACAACAACAATTAATAGTAATGAAATACCTCCTTGTAATATAACAACAAATATAAATGAACAAAATATTAATATAGAATATGAAGCAAAAACGATACAAGATGGTAAAAATTCAATTAATTGAAATTTATTATCTAAATAATTATTTTTTGTTTTTATAAGAATTTATTGTTCAATTTACCGGTTATTATACTACAATAGCTCGAACAAATTATTTAATACGCGTTTTTGAACGTAATAATGTATCTTATTATGAAATAATTAAAAGAAATAATTTAATGCAACGTTATCCATCTGATTTTGATATTGTTCGAGTAGGTTCTATGATTAACAAAAAAACACAGTTATACAGTTTACACGAGAAGTCTTCCAAATGATAAATCGATTTTGAATCGAAACTGTGTGCATTATGTGAAGCCAAATAAACTATGAATACTTGGAAAAGAGTTCGTGCCCTTAGCTTATAGCTGCAGAGATTCTGCACTTTTAAAACAGGTTTTAAACTGAATGTCATAATTCCTCTTAGAAATACCACACCAACTGATTTTCGAATTTCAATTTGAAACTTTGCATAGAGACAAGTCTTAACGGAATTAGTTTTTTGTGAATGTTGAAGATCTTGTCACTGTTCCTATATGAAGATACAACTAGGATAATAGCATGCAGTGATGGATTGATTGAATCAATACAATGTACATGGTCTCGTCTCAGAAGCGACTTATCAATTGTAGAACTTCTCTCATTAGATTCTTTCGATAAATGAAGTTCAATAACTCGAACTCTGTCGTTATGTATAATGAATAAAGTTTTCTTTTAAATATAGTTTAATAGCAATGAACAAATAATTAATGCTCTTAAGAAACATCCACTTATTCGAGCTATAAATCCTCATCGACAAATTATTCGTCATATTCATTATTCACCTAGTTAGTATTATTATTTTCTATTGATAATTAAAAGAAATATTTGATTTTCTTTAAGTTGAAGATGATAATGAAATAGCTAGCAATAAAAGAAAACTACATCGTAGTCCACCAAATCATATACGAATAGCAGAAAGTTTACAAGCACCAAAACTATGGAAAATGGGTCATCGAGGTTAATTTCTCAAAAATGAACTGATTTTTTTTATATGCGTTTGTTTTTTTTGCATTGATAATCTAGGTAATGGTATTCATGTAGCAGTATTTGATACAGGTATTCAAGATGGTCATCCACATTTTCCAAATATTGCTGAAGTAACAAATTGGACTGATGAAAAGAATGATCATGATAGTATGGCAATATTTTTATTTGAATAATTATAATCATTTAAATGTTTTTCTTTAGCCATAGGTCATGGATTATTTGTTGCCGGTGTTATTGGTAGTAATAGCGAATGTTTAGGCATTGCACCAGAAGCACAATTACATATATTCAAAGTATTTACGAATAATCATGTAGGAGTTTTCGCTTTTTTTTTTTTTTTTGTTTATAAAAAAAATAAAATATTATTTAGATATCTTATACATCTTGGTTTCTTGATGCTTTTAATTATGCTATTGTAAAGAAAGTACATGTACTGAATTTAAGTATTGGTGGTCCTGATTTTATGGATCAACCATTTATTGATAAAGTATTAGTTTTTATTTTGTTGAAATGTGATTGAAATACGATGTTTTTTGTACAGGTATGGGATTTAACTTCGAATAGTATTATTCTTGTATCAGCAATTGGCAATGATGGACCTTTATATGGGTAAGTAGTCTTACGTTATATGCTTCATCTAAGTGGATAAATATGGTTTCTCTGTAGTACATTGAATAATCCTGCTGATCAAATGGATGTAATTGGAGTTGGAAGCATAACAATAGATGATGCTATATCACGTTTTTCATCTCGAGGAATGACAATATGGGAGGTAAAGTATAAGTTTCATATTTGATTATAGTTTATCATTGTGAGTGACGATTAATATGTATTGGATAAGACTTTTTCACATATTGAAAGACGATGTTTATTTGATGAGTGATAGAAAAGTCTAGAATGGTTTGCTTTTCCGAATCTTTCTTCTCGAAATATCGGTAGTTGACTGGGTTTTCTCAACGAAAAGCTGTAGTTCCTCTCAGGTCACATCAGAGTGCCTATCTTGAAATATGCAATATTCGAAATTCTCTCATATGTAAAAGCTAATTTTGTTCATATATTTATATCTTCAGACATGAAATATTAATTGTAAAATCAATTAATCTTATGAAGAACTTTATTCCTGTAAAGTTTGAAATTCAAACTCGAAAATCAATTTTCGACGTGACCTAAGAGAGACTATAGCTTTTTGTTGAAAAATTCCAGTGAAATATCGGTACTTCGAGAACGAAGATTCGGAAAACTAAATCATTTTATTACTCTCTATCACTTGTCAAATGAACATCGTCTTGATCGAAAAGTGATTTGACATTTGGAAAGGTTCCTTCGTTGAAAAATAACTTTGAACAATTTTTCAAAGAATTTTAAAGAATGGTTTTCTTTTTATTAGCTTCCAGCTGGTTACGGACGAATGAAACCTGATTTAGTAACATATGGTTCACTTGTAAGAGGTTCAAATCTTGTGTCTGGTTGTAAAGTTTTATCAGGTACCAGTGTTGCATCACCTGTTGTTGCTGGTGCTGTTGCTCTTTTAGCAAGGTTTGTATTGATATAGAATATTTTTTGTTATTTATACTTTATAATATTTTAATTCAAGTTCTGTACTACATCGTACACCGAATATAATTAATCCAGCTAGTTTAAAACAAACATTATTAGCATCAGCTCAACGTATTCGACATGCTAATATGTTTGAACAAGGACATGGAAAATTAAATTTATTACGTGCATTTCGTATTCTTAATCAATATGTTCCACAAGCATCGTAAATAATAATTTTCGAAATTTTTCTTTTCGTTAAAACATACATTTTTTTTTTTTTATCATATAGATTAAGTCCATCGTATATTGATTTTACTGAATGTCCATATTTTTGGCCATATTGTTTACAACCACTTTATTATAGTGCTATGCCAATTATTGTTAATGTAACAATTTTAAATGGTATGGATGTTGTTGGCGAAGTTGTTGGGCAGGTAATTTTTAAAATTAATTATATAAAAAAAAAAAAAAAAAGTGAAATGAAAATTATGTATAAATAGCCTCAATGGCATCCACAAGATTCATATGCTCAATATCTTGAATTATCCTTTGAGTTTTCATCAAAATTATGGCCATGGTCAGGTTATCTTGCAATATCAATGACTATTCATCGGAATGCTTCAGAATTTGAAGGAATAATTCAAGGTCATGTTACGTTAACTATTGAGTCACCAGCAAAAGTAATAAGAAAAAAAATAAACGTTTCATTTTTGTATTCATTAAAAGTTTTTATTGTTTTTTTTAAGAATTCGGAAAGTTTGGTTCAACGAAGTGATTTAATTTTACCCATTCGTGTTCGTATAATTCCAACCCCAATACGTTCTCATCGTATACTTTGGGATCAATATCATTCAATTGGTTATCCACCTGGTTATTTTCCACGTGATGATTTAAAACAGAAAAATGATCCACTTGATTGGAATGCTGATCATATTCATACGAATTTTCGTCATGTTTATGAACATTTAAGAAATGCTGGATATTTTATTGAAGTATTAGGAAAACCATATACTTGTTTTGATGCTTCTCTTTATGGTAAACATGGAGTTTTTTTTTTTCTTCTATAAGAATCCTATTTATTTTTTTTTTGTATTTAGGAACTTTATTGATTGTTGATCCAGAAGAAGAATTTTTCGTGGAAGAAATATCTAAATTACATAATGATATTATTAACAAATCTTTATCACTTATTGTATTTGCTGATTGGTATAATGTATCTGTTATGAGACGTGTACAATTTTTCGATGAAAATACTCGACAATGGTAATTTCTTCCAAAAAAATTTTTTTTTCTCTATACAATATAATTTAAAGGTGGTTACCAGAAACCGGTGGTGCTAATTTACCAGCATTAAATAATCTTCTAAAACCACTTGGTATTGCTTTTGGTGATACTGTTTTAGAAGGTAATTTTGATCTTGGAGAACATACAATTTATTATGCATCAGGTAAAAAAATTCTCTTAATCTTTTCCGTTGTTTGAATTCGAAATTTCATTTATTTGAAAAAAAAACACAACATTAAAAAATCGTAATAAGTAGCAGAGTATTATCGAAACTATTTTGAGTATCTTTCCAAGTAGAAAATACGTCATTAATTACTTATACAAATAGGAAAGTAATGTTGAATGGGAAATTGATTACTGAAGTTTTAATTGACTTGATGAAAGCTGAAGCGATTTATATTATTGATTAATAGGAAGAGAAAAATCACTTGAATTAGAAGACAGGAAAGAAAATTGATAATCTAATGAATAGCAAATATAAACAGGACAATGAAGTTATAGTTATATTTCCGAATAAACTGACTATTATTAGCACTAAAGTACTATTCAAAAATATAAGACCAAAATATTTTTTTTTTTTGTAAATGTCAAACATTCAACTCAAATTCAAATAATGGTTTAAATAGTCAATGAATTTTTCTATCAAATGCATTCGATATTGAATTTTCATAGATGAGTAAAGGAACAAAAGTTTTGTGAAAAACCAAATAAAATGACAGGATCAGTACATTTCCTACAACCTTTCCTTAAATTTTATAAGTATCGCAAAAAGTAGCTGAAAAAAAAGCAAAATTTATTATAACATCGATAAAAAAAAACGTTCATAAATTTTTAAAGAAAAGTCGTAGGATGTGTAGCACCTGAAAACTACCAATTTGTTTTTTCGGAAATCTTTCGATTATATTCCATCTATGAAATTTTGATAGAGAATTTGATTAAGTATTCAAATCATTATTTATATTTAAGTTAAATGCTGAGTAGCGTACAAAAAACCTTAAAAATACATCGGTATTATATTTTTGATCATTAATATATAACTATAAGTTGCGTTTTTGTTTATTATGAGCAAACATTATTATATTCCGATCAGTAATAAATGTTTTTTTTTCTATAGGTACACATATAGTTCGATTTCCAGCTGATGGTTATTTAATCTATCGTCCGTTAATTGATCAAGGTGAAACAATATTACGAATGCCTGGTTCTTCACGTATGCCTCAACAACGTCATTTAAATCTAGAAGATCATGAAAATCGCGTAAAAAATCAAATAGATATTGAAACATTAGTCAAAAGTCGTCCTATATCAATGCCAATTCTTGGTCTTGTAGAAGCATCTGGTGGTGGTCGTGTAGCAATATATGGTGATTCAAATTGTATTGATTCAGTACATCTTGTACGTGATTGTTATTGGCTTTTACTTGCTTTATTAGAATTTACAACATCAAGTCGTGTACCAAAATTATTTTTACAATTAGATGAAAATCGACAAATGGATTTAGATGTACCTGAACTTGAAAGATTAAATACAAGTCGTTTACATAAATTCTCTCGTGTTATTGAAAAAAATGATATAGATAATAAAAATAAACAAAGAGAACTACCGAAATGTTTTGTTAATCAACCTGTTAAACCATCTGAACCTTTGATGACTAATTCGGCATCACAAAAGTAAAATCATTTTTTTCGAGTTTATTTAAATTAATATAAATTCATTCTTTTTTTTTCTGTTATATTAGTAATATAATGAGATATCAAAATCGTTTAATATCAATTGAAGATGATAGTATTGAAAATAATTTTGTAATTGATAATAGTGAAACATCATCACGTTTAGTTCGAGCATTTTTTACATTACAAAATCCAATATTTATCCCATCATTAGTCGGTTCAATTGGTGTTTTTTTGGTTTTTATTATATTATGTCGATCACGACTTTATCGTATATTAATTCTTATGTTATATGGCAATGGGTTTTATTATCGAAAATCACCCAATTCAAGATTAAAACCGATGTCTAAAAATCGACAATATCATTTTATGTCATCATTGAGTAAACCATAAATTTAACAGTGATTGTTCTTCTCTTATTGTTTATTTGTTTTTTTTTTTTATATAATTTCGTTGGAAATATACTCATTTGTTTTGCTAATAGAACATAATTGTTCATTCACAACATTATATTCGACATGAGTCAAATTCAGAAACATTGACAAAAAAAAAAGAGAATTTGTTAAGTTTTCAAATATATAAAGATCGGTACTATTTGATACAAATTATTCTAAATGATATGAAAAAAAGTTTGATACGATTGACAATCATATATGAAGATAAAACATGTGAAAAATTAACATGAGAATCACATTGGCTGCTTTTTTTTTCTTTTATTCTCATGCTTCTTTCTATTAGGTTCATATGATCCACTATTTTGTACTCATTCATGTGAATTCGGGCGTTACTTTACTCAAGGTTTAACCCTGGGACGAAAGGTTTCACCTTGATTTCACTTTATAAGAACCTTTCATATTTGATTTATCTGAAGTATCAAACTCATTTATAACATTCAAGATATCCAGAGCAATTTTTTCGTGAAAATTTCCAACATTTCACTGTCTTCATCAGAACTCTATAACAAAAGAAATTTGTTAAAAACTACTCTTATGGGAAGAAAGCTATCAAACTTAAGTCTACATTTGAAAGCTGCAGAATTTGCTTCAAAAATGAAAAATTCTTTCTGCCATCAAAATGAAGGAAAATTCAGATTCTCTATTGGGTTTTCCACCTGATGGATAAAGATAAATCATGCAGAAAATTCTTTATTATATTTATTATTCATATTTTATTTGTTTAATGTAGAAAAATCTATAATTTAAAGGTTTTGTTTTACTTCAAATGATGTAGACCATACTTTTATTTTTCGATAAATGTTGTAATATTATTTTTCTGTAATTATTAGAGCAATACGTTCAAGTATTGCAAATATTGATTTTGAAGAAAGTATTTTTGATGAATCTATATCTAGCAAATGAGGCAAAAGAAATGTACGAGAAGCATAAGAACCTAAATGTTCAAATAGAAAAAGAATAGCATAAATAATAGACGATGGAGTGCTTGGAATAGTTAGTGAATAAATAAGTCGCGAAATAATACGAGTATAAAAAAGATCATAGACGAGAAAATTTGAACGTTGTAACATTTTAACACATGCTTGAGCAGCTAATAAACGAAGTGACCATACATGACCAGTATCAACAGCAGATTTCATATTATTATCATTATAATCTAATGGTTCATCAATCTGAAATATACAAACATAGAATTAATCTCTATAGTATTATTCTATCTGACCTCAAATTCATACAATAGACAAGTCATAATTATCGGTGATAGAATATGTAAATAATAATTAATAGTTACTAATGAATTTTGAAGTAAACAATCAATAAAAATAAGATAAGAAGCAAGTTGACGACGTTTCTTTAAACGACAACTATGTATAAGACATTCACAAATATTATTTCGACACCATTCAATAAGATATGAAAGAATAGTATTTAATGCAATATGATCATAACGTAAAAAATTCCAAATTTCTTCATTAAAATTCTTTGATTGAAGAAATGATAAATATAATTGTTGTTCTATATTTAATATTGATTTATTAAATAATGAAGATTTAATTTGAAGATTTTTTTGTTCACCAGCTATAGCTAACCATTCAACATGAAGAAGAATATCTCTATATGCAACAACACTATTTTTTCGTACCATTTTCGATTGAAAATTTTTATTTTGAGATGAATTACTAAAACAAATAGTCTTCTTTCTTTATATCATCTTTCACAATGATTCGATTACTTTATGTTAATTAAATGATTTTCATTCAAATTAATCATTGCATCAGCTTGAACAAATAACATACGTCCAAGTTGATGTGTAGTTTCAAACAATGGTAATTTATTTGTATTTACTGAACAACAATAGCCGTATAATGGAGATATACCTCGACATTTAAGTATTAATTGTAAATCATCACCTAATAATCGAGTTCGTTTTGATCGTAGTGCAATCGATAATGATTGTTGAATGATTTGTGTAACTAGGATATGAAGATTAGATGACAGATAGTCGAAACATTCATGTGAAAGAGATAATGAAGAACCAAATATAAGTTCACAGATAAAGCGAAGTGAATCAAACATGTAACAATAATAATTAGATTTAATCACCCGCCAATATAGATTAGTATCGAATGTTACATGAGTTCTAAATTCCTACTAAAATAAGTTTAAATGTAGATAGAGAATGATCTCTAATTGAATGTATTTATATAAAGTTTGCGGTGTCTTGTTGACATGTCACATAATATGATATTGAATGAAATCTTCCTTTGTAAGAATAATAAAATAAATATAGCAATTCAATGTACAGTTTTTCGCAATCGATCAGTAAAATTGTTTAATACAGAAAAGAAAAACACTATATTTGAATGATTCAAATGATAAGTCTATTACACGAAAAATGTTAATTAACTCTTATAGATTATTTTTCTTCATTCTGTGTTTAATATACTTTTATTAACTGTATAAAATTTGAAAATAGTCCGTTTCTTATATTTTCAAAGAATCAATCAAATTATATATAGAATAAGCAATTTAAAACGAAACAAAGATATGAATACTATTTGCAAAATGAAAATTTTTCATTTTGTACAATAATATTTTGTTTTTCTGTTGGGTACAAGAATATGTTCATGTACTTTAGTTCAGTTTATACCATTTATCCATCATACACTCATGAAAAGACTCAAATAAACATCCACAACAATGTCTCGTTAGTTTCTACTGTACTTTTTATCACAAATATGTTTCATCACTTTTAATAAAATAAAATCTCGTTGGTCAATCTTGATTAATTGAAGATTATATTCATATATCTGTATTAATATTTTTACAAAATGATAATTTTCTATTTGCATATAAGTTAATTTTCATCGAGACTTTGAACATATGAGACAGTCTATATAGAGAAGTACAACAAAAACTAATTCACTTCTTATCTTTTATTGTTTTTTAAATAGTATGTCATCTATTAGACAACAAAAAAAAACACAATATTGTTAACGCTCTTTCCTTGAATCTACTGTTTCTGTTAATGGTATTTTTGGCTGGTAAACAGTCGAAATATTAGTTGCATTGTTTCGCTTTTCCCATACTGGTACAACAGATCGATATCTATTAATTCGATAAGCACCAGGAAAATTGGGATGCATACCTGGAGGAGAAACAATAGGTCGTGTTGTTTGTTTACACTTCTGTTGATGTAATTCTATATTAGTATTAACATTAAAACCATCCCATGTGATTCCATCACCTTCTGGTTTATGTATACTTGGCAAAAGAACTCGTCGAATAAATTCACCTATCGTACGTACACCAAAAAATCGTTTCCAATTTTCTATACAACCAAAATCATAAGGATTAACAAAAATAAAACCTTGCCGATAACATTCACGAGCATGATGGAAATTAAGTACACGTTCAAGTGATGTCACACCTTTACTTAGCATTCGTCCATGCCAACAAATAAGACCCATGATTAATATACCACATGTTAATGCAGCAATAAAAATAAAATATGTTATAAAGCCAGGTATTTCCATTGTATCAAGAATAACAAATGGTTTTAAAAAAGAATCTTTATAATAGAATCTAAAACATATAAAATAATAAAAGAAAAAACGAAGGAATTTCAATATTATTTACATTTGTTCTCCAAGTAGAGCAATTTGATATTCACGATAACCAAAAAAACCAGCATACATGCATCCAATAGTCATAAAACAACAAAATTGAAAGAAATATCGATGATTATAAAAACCAACACAATTATTGAGCCCTATTCAATATAAACAAATTTTTAATATGAGATTAATTTAAGTTTTAACATGTCTTACATGGACAATGATGATCAAATTTTAAAATACATGCATTACACCAACTACAATGATGAGTACGAGGTGGTTTATTCACTGAACATTTTTTGCATTTAGGATATTGTGTTGTTAAATTTTGATAATCTTTTGCTAGACCAGGTGAAGATAACCATGCCATAATATAATTAAAATAAATATTGATTGCAAGCCAATTACCGAATACAAAGTGAAAAGCAAATTTTTTATATTCTCTTTTGTGAAGTACACTTGGAACAATTGTTTTATAAAAAACATAAACAACATAAGTTGTCAATGCAAAAAAGACAAATATACAAAAATAACCTATAGATAATGATAATGTTCTACATGTTCGAACACTCCATGCCATTTTGTATAAATATCAAGTTTTTGTTAACTATTTATTGCGTGTAATATAAGATACTAGTACACTTGTTAACCAACCTATTACAGTACAGACGTATATCGACATGTCCTTCTTTTCGGTGTATATGGGATACGGTTGATCGGTTTTCATAAGAGAACGAAAAATGAAAACGAAAAGAAAAAGAGAAAGAATACAAACAGTCGATCTCATTTATCATGTAAATAGAAAGATGAATATTACGATAGTGTTCATTTAGCTATTAAACTCTTGTAAAAGTTCAAATTAAATTAAATTATTGATTGATAGCTGATTGATATTTATTGGTTATTAATGATTCATTATAATGCAATGGTATGTTTCTGTGATACACTAGTGCAAAAATACATAAAAATAGACTAGAGAGTACAATTTCAAGCAGCAACATTAACTATTATGAAGAACCTATGTTGTTACTTTATGTTACTTATCACTGAAATTGATAAAAGTTAAGCGCAGAAATTTTAGTTCACAAAGGTGAATCATGAGAAACGATCAGTGCCACTAATAAGTGTATTGAGTAGATAATATTCATGCATGTCTAACTAAACAAATATTAAAATTGAATTGGTACGTCATGATAATATCAATATGATAAAGACTCCTAATAAAGATAAAACAACTAAAAGAACTTCAATTACTTATTTATTATTTATGCAATGTACTTCCCTCTAGGCAGTGCTGCGTTTGATTCAACAACATATGTATGAACAGGTCCGAAATGAGGGTTGCAAGACGGGAAGGATGTGAGAGGCCATGTGCAACAATGTATCACATGAGTACTGTAAATTTCAAAAAACGACTTACACCTTTTGCTGACTCATAAAGAATAACTAGTGATGTATCTCATTGTCGCAAACTAAAATCATAAAAGTGTATATCATCGATATACAGATCATCTTGAGAAAAATTATCAAATGTCTTTCAAGGATCTATATTAGTGAACATCGTTTCGCCGTAATTCAACAGTCTTCAGTTTGGTAATATCAGTTTCAGAGAAATATATGCTGACTGAATATTTTTCAATTATTACTATGGGTTAAAAGATGCATTCTCTACGCACTGCCACTCTTCTGTATGGTTAGTTTTCTTTTCAGAAAACTAGTCAAGCAAGACAATGTATGGCGATGTCGGCATGCTAGAAATCATTATTTATCAAAACTTATTTCCACTTATCATTTAGTCATTCTGATAAAGATTGATACACACACAAATAAGAATTCGCCAATACTTATTCTATTAAATATTAGTATTTTATTACGTTTTCATCTATAAATATTGTTCATTCAATAGACTTGTCATTTATGCAAATTGTTTTTAATGCTCAGCATTTTTGTGCTGATTTGTGCTTGCGACGATCATTTCGTGATTAAATGCTCGAGGTTTTTATTACTACTATAAGATAATTTGATTGATGAAATGTTTAAAGAGCTCAAAGTTATTGTAATTATTTTCATTTTCCAATTGGATATGTCTAGAAAATAATTTACATGTGTAGGTTTTGAAAAGACGGTTCAATCTATGAGAATTTTGAAGCATAGTTATATAGACAATATTAGAAATATTTCACAATATCGAAGAAAACTAATTTGATAAACAGCATTTTGCTATAGAAAATCAATAGTAAATAATGTATTAATAGATACTAAAAGTAATCATCTTTTAGTGAACAATCTGTAAGCGACATTTTTATCGATGACTAGATAATGAGAGATTAATAAAAATGTTTATTTTATAGAAAAGACTTACCGATACTATAATTCACCAATGAATCCTATATAAGGTATTAGATTTGAATGAACAATAAACTCGACATATAAACTAATCTTTTGTAAGTAGTGATGAGTATCTGATGATTGAATTTAGACTTCGATAAATATCGTGTACGGTAAAAAAACAACAAAGAATTCTCAAAAAAGATGCATTGGATACATGTTTGAATCCATCTATAAAATAAATCATTGTTTGTCTTGTTTGAATGAAAGGTTTTTTAATAAAATGATGTGCACAAAGAAAGATTTGAAATCACCTTTCTATGATATAATTACTATCCTCATTAGCCATGCTTATTTTAAGTTTATAAATCTATTCAAATCTATTTCAGATCGATTATGAAAACACGAATCTTGAATGATATGGATTATTTGATTATAGGTGCTTCGATATGAGAAAAATGATGATTGGTGCTGATGTGAATTTTTTTTTTCGTCTTAATTTTATTCAGATGGTCAGAGATTATCGTTTGACAGTCGTTATGGAATGTATGCATGGCTTACTTATTCTTCTTCTTTGACAAGAAATGTTGAGATAGTCAGGAGCAATATGAGCTTTGGAAAATAAACACTTTCCTTTGCATTTCATAAACTAATGTTTTTCTTCAAGTCAAAATGAAGTACTAAACGAGTTGAGAGTATCTTCCACTAAAACATATAATGCATCAATCTGAAAATTGAACGTAATGAGAGGATGTGGGTGTGGGTGCTGTCTTCTCTTTATCTACATTCACCCTTTTCTTTTTATCTAATACTCAGTTTATAAGAATACAGAGATATCCAACTAGTATTTCAGCATATATTCTATTAACAAGTTGTTATTCTATGAGATAGAAATTGATTAAATTCTATATAATCTTTTCAGTTATCAATAAGTGTAAAACTCTTTTTTCATCAATGGACCTTTATCTATTGTCGACTTGAGAATTATTGTAGTAAATTATACATCAAAAGGATTTGAGTATGAGTGATAGCCTTCTTTTCACTCTCACAAACATGCATACCCATGTCTGATTTCTTATTTTGCAAATATTTATTCAACTCAGTATTTGAAAGAATTTTTTTTGCAAACATATGTTAATCATGATCAAGTTGTTTATATTACATTTTCATCAATAGAACAAATTATTCATCGAGAAAGATTAAATTGAATTAATGAATTTGTTGAATAAAACTCATTCTTTAATGTATATTCGTTGAACATTTGAATGGCTTGGTATATGGAATACTAATACATATGCAGGTGTTTTTTATTTTCATTAGTCACAAACACTTTTATCCGATTGTAAAACTCATCAAAAAGGTTTCGTTTAATGCTAAGTGTATAGCTTAAATAATATTTCACAGAATATGATAATATTGTACTGAAACATTTAAATTATACAGGCAAACAAACCGTGTGTATTAGAGGCTAGACTTGAATTATTTCTCTAGTTATGGAATAATTAACACTGCTATTTAACAAAACCTATCTGTATGAAAGTGATCACCACTCATTAGGCATCATTTGTATCAAGTAGATTCTATTATGACAATCGACTAACATCATCAGCACACAATGTATCCAATGATCGGAAAAAAATTGATTTATTAAATCAGCTACTATTCTTCAACGAAGAATACCTTTGACAAGGTTCTATTTCATACTATAACCGAAGTTGTAAATATGTTCATAATCTCGTACTATAGAAAGTGAAAAAAACAACCGAATTTATTATGACAAAAAAAAATGCAACTCAAAACTTTGATACGTGTATCAAATATATTTTATTTCTTTATCAGGATTAAAAAAAAGAACTTAAATCAATGAGTAAATAGCGAAATTATGAAATTTTATAGAATTTAACGGGATGAATAGGATCCAAGAATTCGTTTTTTCTCTCGCAGATGACGTATCTTGAGTAATTCTTAAAAATGTCCTGAGAATCTTAAGAACTCATATTGAAAAAAAAAAACTAGAATTTCTGAATAATAACGTTATGTTTTCCTCTTTATTTTAATGTTCAGTCGACTATTTAATCTGTATTAATACGATGAAAAGTTGATAAAACCTACTGATAGATATTAATATACAATGGTTTTCACTATTAGTATTCGGTATACCCTTTATTTTTCTATTATATTATTTATACGCCTAACAAAAAATATCTTCTTGTCATAATAAATGTCATAATTATGATATATAATGAGGTAAAACGTAGACACTGATGTTCTTTCATTTATAATCGACGAAAACTACAAGCAATATTAATTTTCTATCTCATAATAGTACCTTTGAAAATACCAGTCAAACTTAAACGTGTCAGTAAAAGAGCTTGGTTCTATTGTTTACGTCCACGATCATCGCGGTAAAGATAAATTACCCGTCGTTCAGCATCAAATATTGTCTCAATCATTATTTTTTTTACATTTATCTGTGACATTATCATTACCATCAATAGTTGATCAAGGTAAATCTTTCATGACTACGATGTTCTTATTTTATACACATGGCCTCGAATAATATACATGAAGTTAGAATATACCGTTTTAATCTATTTATATAGAACGAAACATTTTCAATATATCATGAGAATTAGCTGATTTAATGAAAAATTCTTTATTTGCACTACTTTTTGATCCATTAAAACTTGGTGTTATTCAAACAAACATTTTGAATCAAGATAAACCAAAAATAGTTGCATGTCTATTCATCTTCCACTTTATATTTATTTATACTGGTCGAAAACAAGATCGATTTCTCGGTCGAGATATTATTGATTTGAGACTTGATAAAAGATTATCTAATGAAAATGTGAAATGAAATATAACTATTCGTACATAGAATGGAATAATCATATATTTAAGCACAATTTTACTATCGAATCTTAATGTCAGATACATAGTCTGTCATACAAAAACTTATATACAAGTGTGGAAAAAATATTTTCTACAAACAATTATTTATATTGCTAGTGATTTGAATCTTCATTCTATTCATAAAAATGTCTTTCTAGATCTAACGTCCCTTGATAGTATGAAATGATACAATTACGATAAAACTTTATTTATTAATAATATTCTAGAAGATAACAAACAATCTGTTCCTTATAATTATTTAGTAAATGCAACATCTACATCATTCTTTTTTCTTGTTCATGATAATTTTACAATAATAGACGAACGTTCACATATTGATTTTTTTATTAGAATCAATCTATACTTATAAACATATTGATATTAGTGCAGAAAAAAATACCAGAGAATATAGAAGAATTGAGTGATTAGCCTAGAGTTTATTTCTTTGTAACAATCAAACACATGAACTACTACATGACATGTCAGAAAATAGACAAGATCAAGTCTTATTCATTCGATCATCCGACGATAAAGTTGATCCGGATGAAACAAATCCATGTCATCAAGTTCATTTTGTGCTAGATGTATCTATGGAAAGAAAAGAATTAGTTCGTCAAATGGATTAAGATAATTTTATTAAATCGGAAAAATATGAAGATTTTTTTCATATAGCTTGATCAAGCTAATCGAACTGTATACACATGTCAATATATTTAAATTCATCATTATCAAGAGCTACGGTTGAAAAAATTTTAAATGACTTTTTTTTTTCGAACATTAAACACGTATACATAATTATTTTGTGAATATATTAATCAAAATTGAAGAAATATCATTGCTCGTTTATTTTTAGAAAATAAAAGTCTAACTTCCTTTTTTTTAAGAACGCGAGTAGTAAAATATTAAAGATAGACAACTGCATTCCTACTCTGATAAGGAACAGTGTCTATTCTGACTTAGAATTGGTCATCTCTGTAAAGTATCAAGAAACGATTGAAAATTTTTGTATGAGTTGTCACAATTATCTGAAAATATACTTATATAGTTTATGCATAATTAAATAGGGTTAAATAAAAGTAATTTATCTCCTAATCACAGAAGCACACTTCAACATTAGTATAAATTGTTTCATTCGCAAATACGATCGAATTTTTGAAAAATATGACGTGCTAAAACTACAAAAAAAATTCACACTAGTCAATTAAGAAATAGTTGTATCTATTGGCTGGTGAAAATTTATCTATTAAGACAGATTGGTTGTAACTGTTACAAGCTATAACAATAATAAATGTATAAAGCAATTATACATTGTTGTTTTATATTATTCTTGATTAGAAAACAAGAGAAAACCGAAAATTTTTCATGGTAGACATGAAGAAACTATGCTTAAATCGAACTACTGCTCAAATATTTTATCATTTTCTTAATATAGACTATTAATACTTGTCTTTTGAAGTTATAATCGTTGGATGAATGAAAATATGTAAATACAATTAAAGTAATTCAATAAAAAGAAATTGGTTCGTCATGTATGATGTTGTTTTTTCATTTCTGATAAAGTATTGACTATATTTATTAATAATGAGTCAAAACAAGATATAATTGAAAATGAAACAGCAGCATCAGAATTTGTTTTTATATACAGAGTAGAATATTAATTATTATCAGAACAAATCTTTATCTATTATTTAAAAATAAAGTTAATCGTATAGAATTTTCTAATTTTTTTAGAATCTTGACGAAACTGTTAATTATGACTTAAATTTTTGTCAAAATAAAAAACTTTCTATACCTTTTTCAATAAGTGTTCGTCTTCTTCGAATTCAATTGAATATTCAAAAAATATGCTTATACAATAATAATTCAACTACCATATTGTTTTTGCATGATATGAATTCTTAGTATTTGATGATTACATGAAACAAACAAAAGAAAAAGCTTTCTATTTTCTTTATTGTTATTTAAAAACTTTTTTTTTGCTCTAAAATCGAATCAAACCTTGAATAGTTGACAAAGATGAATATTTATTTATATCAAAATAAGCAATTATTTAATATTCTCCACTAATTATCATATAAAAAGAACATCAAATAGAATGACTAAACCATTTTAACAGTAGAAATCTATTTTATTCTTTAGATTCAAACAGAATCTTATATTAGAAGCACAATAATTTTCTTCTTTTATTTCATAATAAATATTAAACAAAACATAATGAATACATGGTTTCATTCATTTTTTCAATATAATGCAAAACATATTTATTAAAGATTTTCTTCAAAAAAAAAAAAGTTCGTATCATATTTTAATAGTGTCTTTTATTCAGAACTTTAAAACAAATAAAAATTATGATTTATTTAGAGTAAATCTTCTTAACATGTTGTTTTGAGAATGCAAGGACTATTTATTTCATTACTTTTCCGTATGTAGTCTTTGTCACAGAAGCAGCCAGAAACACATGGAAGAAGACAGTATATGCTGTTCTTGTTTGTACATGTTTGTCGACAAACTGTACCACATGTGTTATATAATCCATTGATTGTTTGGCAACAAGTTTCCTGTTTAACACATTGCTCATTCTCTCCAAGGACAAAACCCTTCTTACAAAAACAACCACTCCGACATACGGCTGAACAAAGTCGAAATTTTCGAATTGGATTACGCTCGTCATTACATGTTTGTGGACATGATGATCCACATTCTGTATACTCTGCATTGAGATCATAACATAAAGAATTGTTACATTCTGATTCAGGAATGCATGGACTATCCGTTTGATTATTTAAACGAATAAAACCATCCTTGCAGACACAACTAGGTACACACTGTTTAGTACATGATTGAAATCTAGCTGCACAAGTATCCGGACAAGCTGATCCACATTCGTTGAAATATTCATTTATAGGACAGGAACACTGGGAACGTGGTACACATTTGCTTTTATCATCAGTTTCACGTACAAAGCCTTCTTTACAAAAGCATCCTGGAACACATTGAAGTGTGCAAAATGTTGGTGTATGAGTACAATTTTCTTGACAAGCACTACCACATTCGTTGTACTCTTCATTATCAGGACACTCAATTTCTAGATGAATAACAAAAAAAAAGAATATATATGTAACAAACAAACAATAAAATATTTGTTATTTGTCGTACCAGTAGCATTGATCTTAATAAATAATAGTGCGAACGCCAATATAAAACTAATTCGAATAATGATAATCATATTTCCTTTTGATTATCATTAATCAATTGAATATATATATTTATATATGTGTGGTGTTTTAGACTATTCATGAGTAGTAATCCTTAGATATACATCTATCTCCTCCTACCATGTACATAAAGCAAGTAGGAATGTCACGATAAAAGTTTGATGTTATTGATGAATAATAAGGTAAAGAGTAGTGAAAGAGAACCTACCATTTAGATGCGTAAGAAGTAATCCACTTTGATTATCATATTCATCATTATGGGAGTAATTGTGGATAGAAGAGAACAAAATAGTTCATGAATACAGATCAAGAGTCAAGTATTTTATTCTTATCAGCTTAGTATTTTATAAAATAGTATAAAGACATAAGAAATTGAATAAGTATTTTATTATAAGATACA